TTCCCTAAATAGGACTTATTAATGTCTTAGTGGGTAGAATAATGTCCAGTAATGATGGACATTTACTTAAATAATGACTAATTCATAATGACCAAAAGTCTTATATTGGGAAATAAAAACATATGGTCCCATATTGGGAAAGTCATTATGTTTTAGTCCTATTTAAGTAAATTACTCATAAAGATATTTGTTTCTTATTATTCTATTCCTAATTGTATGAATAAAAGTGTTTTTTAATAAAATGGTAAAAAGACTAATTAATTACAATCCATAAAACGTTGGTGAGCAGTGTTAGACAGTAGTCCTAATCCTAGTATCACTTGTATTTAGTCAATCTCTAGTACTCCTATTCCTAGTTGTACTTGTATTACGTCTCTATATATACATTACCATGTACCCTATTGTAAAGTGTGAAATACAATTATTCAATTGTGTCAATATGGTATCGGAGCATAGGTTCCAAAAACCCTAAATCTCGTTGGCTTCATCGCCGCCCCCTTCCCGTCAATTTTTTCTTCTTCCTCAGTGCCGATGTTCTTACTGGAGTAATTATCTACATCACTAGAGTAATTCTCTTTTGTCCCTGTCCTGTGCCGCTGATTCTTCATCATGGCAAAAGGTACCCATGATCCGTTTGATGCCTTACCTGGTGGCCTAAAGCTCTTTCTTTGGAACCTTCATGCCTTAATTCCTACCAAATTGGAGGATCACAATTATCCTGCCTGGTCGTCCACAGTACGGGCCACGCTTGTTGCTCATTGATTGTTCGAATTTGTTGATGGTACTGCACAGCCACCGCCTCCAACAATTGTCGACGAAAAGGCTCCAGCTGCTGCCGTTGGAGTTCTGGTTCTCAAACCCAATCCGGCTTATGAGCAGTGGACTATTCTTGACGCTCAACTCCGTGCTGCTCTTCTTGCCACACTATCTCCCTCAGTTCAGAATCTTGTTCATCTATGCCCTACTGCTGCCGCCATCTGGGATCACCTTCATCAACGGTATAATTCTCTTTCTCGCACGCATATCTTTCAACTCAAAGAGCAACTTCACAATTTACGTAAGGGAGAATTGTCTATGCAAGCATATCTTGACGAGGCTCTCAAAATTGTCACTGCACTTTCTCTTGCACGAAAGCCTGTCCCCGAACAAGATCTTATTCTCAATGTCCTACATGGTCTTCCTTTGGAGTATGCATCCCTCAAACAAAATGTTCGAACAAACATTACTGATCTCACGTTCAACAAGGTCTCGTCCTGGCTTCTTTCTAAAGAGCTCAATGTTCAACTAGAACACAAACTACAGATTGGTACCCCTTCCACGTCCAACACAGATGTTCATACTGCTCTCTATACTCATAATCGTGGAGGAGGATCACGTGGGCGTGGGCGAGGAAGACTGCCTAGTTTCCGAGGAGGACGCATCAATGGTAGTGGGGGCCAAACCTCTTCTGACCGTAACATTGGCCGAGGTTGCAGCAGTGGTCCGCGTAATCCTTTACTTATTTGTCAAATTTGTGGCAGGTCTAATCATGGAGCGTGGCAGTGTTGGGATCGTTATAATGAAGACGTCAATGGCCCTCCTCAACGAACGAACAATCAAGCCTTGTACATTGTATCCCCTATAGACTCTAATCAGGATTGGCACTTAGACTCGGGTGCAAGTACTCATGTTACGTCTGATTTATCAAGACTCCAAAATCCTATTCCTTATCACGGTCAAAATTCTGTTTTCACTGCTGGGGGACAATCCCTTCCGATTTCACATGTTGGCTCAGGTCAGGTGTCCACTCCCATAGGTACTTTTACCATATCTAACCTCCTTCATGTTTCCCATTTAAAAACCCACCTCTTATCTGTCCACCAATTTACCAAAGAAAATAACTGCTCTCTTCTTTTTAATTCAAAGGAATTTATGATCCTGGACAACCATACCAACCAAGTGACATACAGAGGCCCATGTGAGCAGGGACTGTACACCTTACCCGCCACTCCTTCGTCTTCGTCCACTGCGTATGCTGCAGCTCCGCTGATGACTCGTGCTTTGAAGACCACAATTCATCAGTGGCACTGTCGGCTTGGTCATCCATCTCTTGAAGTTACAAAATCTATACTCTCTCAGTTAGGTTTTCGTGTAGTGTCTAGTGCCTTTCATTGTGATTCATGTTGAATGTCAAAGTCTCATAAATTATATTTTCCATTATCCACTACTGTTACTACCGCTCCTTTTCAATTAATACATTCTGATGTTTGGGATCCTACTTCTGTCTCTTCCTTTGGCGGTTATCATTTTTATATCAATTTTGTGGATGATTTTACAAAATACTGTTGGATTTATCCACTTAAACATAAATCTGATGCCTTTAATGCTTTTCAAAGTTTTCAATCCATGATAAATCTCAGTTTGGTCAGCCCCTCAAATTCATTCGAACTGATAATGGTCGTGAATATGTCAACCATAAATTTGGTCTCTTTTTACAAAGCTCAGGAATTCTCCACCAAAAGTCATGTCCTTATACTCCTGAACAAAATGGGGTTGCTGAACGAAAACATAAACATCTTATCGAGACTCTTGTCACGCTTCTTTACACCTCTTCCCTTCCCACGACCTTTTGGGTAGAGGCTCTTGCCACTACAAACTATTTTATTAATCGCATGCCCAAGCGTTCCCTCCGTTACAAATCCCCATATGAGCTCCTCTACAGACACCCACACGACTACTCTCACCTTCGTGTATTTGGCTGTCTTGCTTATCCACATCTTCGGCATGAAATAGATCACAAACTTCAACCCCGTTCCAAACGGTGTATATTTATTGGGTATGAGTCTCTCTCCAAAGGATATTGTTGTTATGACCCCTCAACTCGTCGAGTGTACATCTCTCGTCATGTCCAGTTCAATGAGTCCGAGTTCCCATACTCTAACTCTGGTCTGCAATCTCGTCCCCCGTCCGAACCCTCCTATTTCGGTGTCTTACCTCTCTTTCCCAATTTCCAGGTGTCTCCAGTCTCTGCTCATGTAGACCCTTTGTCTACCCAACACCCTAACCCAGTACCCATACCCACCCCGAATACCCTGCCCGACAATATTCCCTCCTTTACGCCCAACCCTGGTCAAACAACCCTCCCCACACACCTACCCACTAATCCCGTACCCATGCCCAGCCCAGAAACCCTACCCGGCACTACTCCCCACTCCAGTCAAACCACACTACCCACAACACTACACCCGCCACCACCCCATCATCCCATGACCAGTCGATCCAAGAGTGGCATCTTCAAACCCAAAATCTTTACCACTACTCTGTCCACTATCCCTCCGGATACTGAGCCCAACACTTTTCGGGAAGCATCTAAAAACATTTTTTGGCGTCGTGCTATGGATGAGGAGTTTGATGCTTTGATTAAACAGCACACATGGGTACTTGTGCCTCGACCTCTAGGTCGAATTTCGATTGGGTGTAAATGGGTATATAGAGTCAAACGCAATGCTGATGGTTCTATTGATCGATACAAAGCTCGCCTTGTTGCCAAAGGTTTTAATCAGGAGTATGGTTTGGACTATTCTGAGACCTTCAGCCCGGTGGTCAAACAACAAACCATTCGAGTGGTTTTCTCCCTTGCTGTTCGTTGTCAATGGCCTTTGAGACAGCTTGATGTATCTAATGCTTTCTTACATGGTGAGGTCGATAAGGATATCTATATGACTCAGCCTCCCGGCTATGTTGATTTGCAGTTTCCCCATCACGTCTGCAAGCTCACTAAATCCTTGTGTGGGTTGAAACAGGCCCCTCGTGCATGGAATGAGCGATTCTCGGCTTTTCTCTATGCCTACGGGTTTCGCAAGAACGAGCACGACACAAGCCTTTTTATTATGCATGGATCTTCAGGGATACTTATCTTGCTTGTTTATGTTGATGATGTTATCGTCACAGGTAGCTCTACTACTCTTGTACAGGGATTCATCCCTAGCATGTGCCGGGAGTTTAACACAAAGGACCTCGCTGATCTTCACTACTTTCTTGGCTTGGAGATTGTTCGCACATCGTCTTCTCTTGTTGTGTCCCAGAAGAAATATGCTCTTGAACTCCTTCACCGAACTGGTTTTGCAGACTGTAAACCTGCTCCCACACCGATTTCTGTTCGGCCAAGGACCTCGGAGGAGGGGGAATCTCCTCTCTTTCGAGATCCAACTCCACTACAAAAAACTGCTGAAATCGCGACGGAATTATTCCGTCGCTAAAGCTTGATTTCCGTAGGGAATCGGCCTAGCGACGGCAACAACGACGGTTTGTATTCCGTCGTTATTTTTTCGTTAGTAATAAGTTTAACGACGGATTATTTAATCCGTCGCTAGGCTACGACGGAATGAGGCGACGGAATTAACGACGGAAAATTTCCGTCGCTAAAATTAACAACGGTTTTAGCTACCGTTTCTGCATTTTGACCATACAGCGACGGAAATGATATTCCATCGCCAAATCCGTCGCCAATTTTACAGCACAAATACAGAAAGCTGCCATTTTTTCAATTTCACAGAACATCCATAGCAACCTACTCTAGCCTAGGAATCCACAGCATCAAACAACAACAAATACTAGAAATGAAGAATACCAAACAACCAAGAATATTCAAATCACCAAACTACAATTAAAATTCAAATAATATTTATAAAAATTCAACTTAACAATCAAATCTAACTCCACTTACATAACCATCAAACTTAAGTTTAATATAATGTTCTTCAATTCTAATAAAATATTCAACAAGTGCGTGCAAACCCCGTATCTCATCAGGTCATCTCTTCTATAATCGACAATAGTTCACGCACTTGGGAAGCTCTAATGTCGTCTAGCTCTTCTCTCAACCTCCGTATCTCATCATCTCGAGGGTCTCACATAAAGATGGTGCTAGCACGTCTTGCCTCACTTGCATGCATTCGTGGTAGGCTTCGTGCGAGATCTCCAACACCATAAACACGATTTTTGGCATCATGTCTTCTGACTGTAGATATAAAAATCTGGTCACGTGTCACATTTAAGCATTATTCTCGAACTGCCTCCTGCGTGACTACGTAGTTTTGCTGCAATACACCAAACATACATGTTTATATATTAACATAAAAAGCAAAATAAGTAGAGTAGTATGAATTCACATCCAATTGAATTCAATGAAAACTAACCATTTATATATACAATATATATTCATTGTCACTTACTGATACTTTTTATGTCTTCATATTGACGTAGGTCTTCCCATCATGTTTCTTTGTATGTGTGTGTGTGTACGAAGAGTACAAGTCAGAAGCTTGTCTACTTTTACCCTAAAACAATAAAATATATAAATAAGTGTAAACATGTAAGTTAAAACATTTAAATGAAAATAATGTTACTAATAATACTTACAAGGCGTGCTTGAGACTCGCGAAAAGACAACAGACCACCGGTGTGCGTGGCGCTAGCAGGGGCATTCTCGTCACCACCACGACGATTTTTCTTGTTTTGCTTGGAGGATGCCAAGAACTTTGTTGTCTTCTAATACTGTTTAACAACAATTAATACAAATATACAAATAGAAATTCAATAGAAATTTTTACATGTGAAAATTTCACATTCCAGACTTGAATCTAAGTTTGGCGCAACTCAATCTGTATTTATAAAATCCAATCTGTATTTATAAAACAAGAACTACCAAGTCTTTTATACATCCAATTCCGATTTTTGTGAAAGTCACTATTCTTAGAGATTCATAAAAATAAAATTAACATACTATTAAGTTATAGAATTAAAAAAACATTAAAAATATAAATGGAACAACCACAATATTCAATAACATACATAATACATATACAATCTTCATATAACATTAATAATATCCAAAATATGCTATTAAACAATTAATTAGCATAAATTCATTCCTCATATAAAAGTTACAATATATAAATGATTAATAAGCACGATATTCATTCACTATAACTTTCAAGAATATAATTAATTTTTTTAAAAACAAATGACTAAATTTTGAAAAGCAAACCCTAATCTAAAATAATTATAAAATTAAAATTAAATTTGTAATAATAAACAAAATATGTTAACTTAAAAACCCCTAATGTAAGCAATACAATTATAATTAAAAACAAATTAATTCAGAAATTGAAATTGAATAAAAGATGAAAAAATGAAAAACAAAACCTGAGATTTCAAGTGGACGGTGACGGAAGATGGGTAGACGACCGGCGGTTGATGGTGGCGGACGGAGAAGATGATCGGACAGCGACCGGCGGATGATGGTGGCGGAAGGCGTCGCGGAGGAGACGAAACTACACAACAACTCTTTGTGGTTTCTGTATGCGAAATCGGAGAAACTGAGAGGAGTTCCCGTTTTTAGATCTGTTTTTGGCGACGGATTTAGCGACGGAATTTTTCCGTCGCCAGCTCAAAACGCAGCGTTTCAATTATATTCTTTTACCGACGGAATTTTTCCGTCACCAAACTAACGACGGAATTTTTCCGTCGTCTAATATGCCGCGCACTACCTCCCGCCAATACGGAGCGACGGAATGCTCATTCCGTTGTAAAGTTTGGTAGGTGTAAAATTCCGTCGCTGAATCCGTCGTCGTTAGCGTCGAATTGCATTCCGTCGTTTTTTTCGCGTTTTCTTGTAGTGCTCTGTTCCGAAGTCTCGTTGGTGGTCTACAATATCTCACAACTACACGGCCTGATATTCAATTTGCTGTCAACTATGTATGCCAACGTATGCATACCCCGACAGATGCCGATTTCCAACACTTAAAACGCATTCTTCGCTTTGTTAAGGGCACCACTGATCATGGTCTTGTGTTTCGGCCTGGTGACTTACAACTTAGAGCGTACTCTGACTCTGACTAGGCTAATGATATGTCTGATGGGAGATCGGTCACAGGTTATCTAGTCTACCTTGGGCCAAACTTGGTTTCTTGGAGTACGGAGAAGCAGTCTCGCGTCTCAAGGTCGTCCACAGAGGCCGAGTACCGTGCTTTGTCTTCGGCTGCAGCGGAGGTGATGTGGCTTACCTATGTCTTAACAGATCTTTGTGTTCCTCTCGTTACACCACAACTCTTGTGTGATAATCAATCGGCAATTTGTCTTACCAAAAATCCTGTGTTTCATAAACGAATGAGACATGTGAGTACGGATTGTCACTTTGTTCGAGAACAGGTCGTTGCTGGTACTATGGAGGTTTCTCATGTTTTCTCTGAAGATCAGCTTGCTGATTTACTCACAAAGCCTCTTCCTTCACCACATTTTCAGAATCTTGTATCCAAGCTTCCACTCGCTATACACCGTTCAGCTTGAGGGGGGATCTTAGACAGTAGTCCTAATCCTAGTATCACTTGTATTTAGTCAATCTCTAGTACTCCTATTCCTAGTTGTACTTGTATTGCCTCTCTATATATACATTACCATGTATCCTATTGTAAAGTGTGAAGTACAATATAATTATTCAATTGTGTCAATAAGCAGAAATTATTCCAAACATGAATGGATGGTAATTTTTAGAAACTTCAGATTAGTTATTAACAGAACAAAAAATTCACACTCCATATATATATACTCCCTCCGTTGGAGTATATTTCTTCATTTCTTAAAATCACTAGTTTACTAAAATGTAAAATTTGTAACAAGGAACTACTCTATATCTGATGGATTGCAGCGCATTTAAAAGGAAATAAATCAATTTAATGCAAGGTGTGTGTATATTGCTCGCATTTACTTAGGTTATTCATAAAATTAAATTTTGATTTTAGAAATTGAAATAGTTAAAACAGTCGTTAATTATTGCTTTCTATATATTTCCATTAATTACAAAGACAATCATATCGTCTATATAAAATTAATTATTATCGTATATATGCATGGTAAGTCATGCATGAGAAGCATTAAATAGTACGGAGGACTATATATACTCCGGTATATATATACTCTCGGTATCTTTAGCCCTTCATATATCACCTGCACAATTCAAGGTATGTAATAAGAGAGATTTTAGGAGTGGTTTCTTATTTTTTGAAATGTCTAAAATCATGAAACATGTTGTTTTTATTGTCTCGTTTCACGTCATTGTTAGATATTAGTATTATCGTTTTGAAAAGACTATCTGACGGTAGTCTTTAGCGTTAATATTTTTCAAAATTAATTTGTAGTATTTAAATTTTATCAAAACCCTAGCGCTAATCCAAAACGTTGTTTTCAAAATTGTTCCTACTTTTTTGTTTTTGAAATCTCTTCTCTTAAATACTTATATATTTCTATAACCAAATCATTTTTGTTGCAACATATAGTAGTAGTGGCGAATCAAAAAAACGGGATGATCGTGGGTATCGTCCCCGAATCTGTTTTTTGAAATACAATATGACATGATGAAAATAGTGTTAATTTTTTGGAATTAATGGAGTATATAAATCATTCTAAATTTAGAAATTGCTCCGTATACATTAGTACGTATATTATTAAAACTAATTTACAATTAAAGGCTTTAAAATGTTTTGACCCTTTTTATCCTAAGTCAAAATGGAAAAAAGTTAATGGGGGCATCCCAATTTTTTAGTAGAAAACAAATAACCATAATTGATGTTTTTTTAAGGAATTGGGGTAGTAATTTAAAAAAAATTATAATTTTTATGTTTTTATTAAAATTGAGTATTGTGCATTATTATATTACATACAGAGTATACATTATTGTTTGTGAGCAAGCAAAAACCTTTTGTGGCATTGTGTTTTTCTAACTTGATCATCAATTTATGTGTGTAGGTTGGCCATTATTTGTCAAGGAGCTATCTATGAGAGGAAAAGACGTTTTATGTGTTTTATACACATTCCTTGCACTCATTGCCACGGGTACATGGTTTTAAATAAAAAAATGGGTTAAATGTATTTTTAGTTTCTGTAGAATAGATAATTTTTGTATTTGGTCTTTGTAAAAAAATTTTCTTAATTCATCTTTACAGAATTTTTTATTTCAAAAATGGTTTTTAAACGTAAATAAGATTTCTAATTTTTTTGAGATAACAATTTTTTGTACTAAACGTCTTAGTTTTGTAATTCTAATTATGTTATACAGAATTTTCATGTCCTAAAAAATTATGTCTTTCATCGAATTATTTCCCCAATTCTCACATTATTTTATTATATTGTATTTCTAAATGTATTATTTATTTTTAACTCAATTTTATTTAATACTGAATAATTCAATAATTAATTCACAAGAACGTATAGAAGATTATATATATATATATATATATATATATATATATATATATATATATATATATATATATATATATATATATATATATATATAATTGTTCCTATCTATATTTAATTATGGTATGAATATACAAAAGGTAATAACCATAATATGAAAACCTATACAAAAGGAAACAATATAAATAAATATATTTGCTATATTTAAGAAAATTTTATAAACTTAGACGACCATGCATAATTTTTTTAAAAAGTATATTTATTTATAAGATAATTTCTAAATTTTCATTTTAAGCAAAATAGTGTTGATATATTAAATTTTTAAAATATTTATATATGTACAGTTATACTCCCTCCGTCCCGTGAAACATGGGACATTTGCTTTTTAGGAAGGATTTAAGGGAGTGTATTTTGGTATTGAATTTCCAAAAATGTCCTTTGATGTGATGTGTAAAAGTATGATTTGATGGATAGATTATTAGTAAAAAGGTATGATGTGATAGTTAGGGTATGAAAAAGTAAGGGGTTAAAGTGACTTTTTAATAGAAATGAGAAGTGTTTTGTGGGACGGATAAAAAAAGGGGGAAATGTTTCACGGGACGGAGGGAGTAGTTATTAATAGCTAAAGTATTGTATTGATTGTCGTGAAAAAGTTAAAAATAAATCTTTTTAAAAACAAGGAATGTAAGATTTTACTATTGACAAATATATACGATCATAATTTAATTTAATCATCATACAAAACTACAAATTTGGATAGCTTAATAATACTCCTTGTATAGAATTATGTAGGGTTATGGCTTATGGTTTGACTAATTCTATAATTGTCCACGCACCAATTCCTTGCAAATTAAAGTGATACACGGTACTCCGTACCATTTTTAATCAAGAAAATTGGTTGAATTATATTTCTTTTTTTATACTTATTAACATTAATTAATCGTTAACATATTTTTTTTTTTTTGCAAAATTAAATAATTAATGGTTAACATTAATAATGTATGTACTTCCCCAGGGTTCCAAGTCATTGCGGAGGACTATGATTACAGCTTCTATAATGAGGTAATAACTAAGTCCCTAATTAATATTTTGGCAAATACTTTGTGAAAATGTATACGGAGTAAGTATATAGCTAGGGAGTACTTTGGAGGACTATAGTTTGTGGACTTTTTCTGAGCCAATTAAATTAAAGTTATGTGAGTAAGTCTATATATTAGACGAGGACCTTAATACCACAAAATCAATATCCAATTAATTTGCGCACTAGGATATATACTATTTAAAGAACAATGTTTACTCAATTTCTTTTTTTTAAATTCATTAGTCCATTGATAAAATAAGTGTTGTCGCATCTTATTTTATGTATTCCGGATGTACTTTTTGAATATACGTATAATTTCCTTAATGTTAGCTCAATTATTTTAGAATACCTGGATTGAAAAGAAATAATCAACATAATCGTTGTATGTAATCTGAAATGTCCAAATTATTTAGCTAAGCAAGGATGGAGTACATTTGAGAGATGACTCCTATATTTAATTATAACTTTCACAGTGTTTGGAAAATCCTATAAAACCTCAATACGATGGAGGGATGGTCGCAAATCCAGAATTCAACAATGACCTGAATGGCTGGTTAAGTTTCGGAGGCAATCATGTAAATCTAACCAAAGGAACTTCAATGGAAGGAAACAACAACTTCATTATTGCTTCTAATAGAAAAGTCCCATATGATGGCTTCTCTCAAAAGATTGATTTGAAGAAGGGCCATCACTACACTATTTCAGGTATACACACACACACACACACACACACACACACACATATATATATATATATTTAAATTTAGTTTTAATCTAATTTTTGGTACTTTATACATGCTGATTACGGTTAAAGTCGTATCCCACCTATTTTACTATTATTATTAATTTGTAGGTTGGGTTCAAATAAGCGATGGTATTGAAAGTGATATATCAGTCTTGTTCAAAACACCAAGCGGCTATGAGTATGTAGCTTGGGTCATTGCCCGGTCTGGTTGTTGGTCCATGTTTAAGGGTGGTTTTGTTGCTAACGATTCGGCTACTTTCGAGTTATATTTCCAGGTATTTTTTCAATTTAAACACTCCCCAAACTATCAAAATTAGTCCATCCATTTTGTATTTTAAAAAAAAAATAAAAACCAATTCACACTTTTAAAATCAAGGTTTAAACTAATTTTTACTCGTGTATTCTTTGACTATTTCTGCAGAGTAACAATACTCAAACTGAGATATGGGGTGATAGCATATCAGTAAAAGAATTCACCCCAGAGCAATGGACTGCTCACCAAGTTAAGAGCATTGAGAAGGTAATTACCTCATACTTGTAATAAAATTCTTACTGAAATTTGTTTGAAAAACATATCCATATATATAGCACATTATTAGTAAAATGTACTCCCATTTTAAGTTGCATTTTTGCCTTTTTTCTCCGTCCCAAAATAAATTGCAATTTATTTGTTATCGTAAACTTTTAATAGTAAAATACCTAAATTACTCCTAAAATAAGTCACCATTCTCTACCTTATCTTCTCATTCATCGTCACCAAGTAATGACAATTTCGAAAAATCAACTCTATTTTTTCTTTTCCTTAAATATGTCCAAAAATCAAAACAGGCGATTTAAAACGGGACGAAGGGAGTACATGTATATATATACACATTAAATTATTATTTTTAAAAAGAAATAAAACTACGAGGAATTTACCTAAATAGCACTAAAACATAATGATTTTCCTTAAATAGCACTACATATGTTTTTTCCTCAATGTAGCACTTTTAGTCATTATCCATTAGTCATTATTCAAGTAAATGTTTGCTATCACTGGTCATTATGGACATTATAAAGTGCTATTTAGGGAAGAAAACAATCTAAGTGCTATTTAAAGAAATGACTTAAGTTTCAGTGCTATTTAATACAAATATTTCATAAAACTACTCCCTCCGTTCTCAAAAATACTTTCTTTTTCATTTTTTCCACTTTCAACAAAATACTTCCACTTTCTATTAAAAAACCACTTTTACCATTACTTTTTATACTCTAGTAATTCTACCTATCACATCATACTTTTTATCTAATAATCTATCTATCGCATCTTACTTCTACCCATCACATCAAGAGCAAAAGTGAAAGTCAACTACAATTTAATACTTTTTATTTTTACACTTGATTAAAATTGGAACTTTTTTGAGAAGTACTCCCTCCGTCCCAGAGTATTTGTCCACTTACCTTTTGGCACACCATTCAATGCACTTCTTTAATCCATTTTATCTTGTAATTTGTATATTAAAAAATTATATATTAATAATCTATATGTTAAGACAAATCAAACAAGATCACACCATGACTATATTTAGGCTTACACATTGAGAGAACTTGATGAGTCAAAGTGCTTAGATGAACAGTTCCAAAAGTCAAAAGTGGACAAAGGCAGTGGGACGGAAGGAAGTAGTATATATTTGTCTGAATTATAATTATATTGATTGAAAATGACGTACGTACGTACGTATTTATTATGTATGGATATATAGGTACGGAAATCAAAGGTGGGGATTCAAGTAGTGGATGGGGAAGGGAACCCATTGGGGAATGCGACAGTGACCCTAGTGAAGGGCAGGCCGAGCTTCCCGTTGGGCTGCGCCATCAACAGAAACATCCTAAACAACAACGCCTACCAGGCCTGGTTCTTCTCCCGGTTCAGGCACACCGTTTTCGAGGACGAGATGAAGTGGTACACCAACGAGCCCTCCCAGGGCCGCGAGGACTACTCCGCCTCCGACGCCATGCTCCAGCTCCTCCGCACCCGCGGCGTCTCCGTCCGCGGCCACAATGTCTTCTGGGACGACCCCAGATTCCAGCCCTCCTGGGTCCCCAATCTCCCGCCCGCCCAGCTCTCCGCCGCCGCTTCCAGAAGGGTCGCCTCCGTCGTCAAGAGGTACGCCGGGCAGGTCATCCACTGGGACGTCGTCAACGAGAACCTCCACTTCAATTTCTTCGAGGGGAAACTCGGACCGGACGCCTCCGCGGTCTATTACCGGCTCGCCAGCGGCTTGGACCGCAAAGCGACGCCGTTTCTGAACGAGTATAATACGATTGAGCACAAGGAGGACTCGGCTTCGTCCCCGGCCAAGTACCTTGCCAAGATCTGGCAGCTTCGGGCCCAGAGGTACAATGGGCCTCTCGGGATCGGGCTCGAGGCCCATTTCGATGTCCCGGACTTGGCTTATGTCCGGTCCGCGATCGATACGCTTGCCAGCGCGAAGCTGCCCATTTGGATCACGGAGTTGGACGTTTCGCCGCGGCCCAACCAGGCCCAGATACTGGGACAGGTACTAAACGAGGTCGTTTCGCACCCGGCGGTGCAGGGCGTCGTGATATGGTCGGCGTGGAAACCGGGCGGGTGTTACAAGATGTGTTTGACCGACAACAGTTTCAAAAACCTGCCCACCGGAGACGTCGTCGACGGCGTCCTGAGAGCAATGAGCAGCCAGGGTTTGGCCGGCACCACCGCCGCCGACGGCTACTTTGAGGCTTCGCTCTTTCACGGCGATTACCAGGTGAAGGTGGAGCACCCGTCTCTGGATAAACCAACGGTGCATCGGCTGGCTGTGACGCCGGCGGACGCCGCCGCGGGGACCCAAAGGATGATTAACTTCAAATTATCTGTCCCTGTCTAGCTGGTCTGATGGATGGTCGATGATGATCTTCATTCATATTGTTTTATTTTACTTAAGCCTGATTAGTTTTAAATTTAGTTCATAGGTCTTCATATATATATAGATGTCTTTCATTTTCACAGGAATAATTGTTCGTATGATGAGTTTAGATGAAAGGGATTGAGTTTAAAGATGTAGTTTAATTTCAATGGCAATGCCTAATTTCAAGGGGTTGAGTTCACGTTGTTTCTATATTTGATCTATAGTGCGTATATCTTTTCTCATTACAAATATAAGTTCATCCCAAAATCGTGAGAAAAATGTTGGAAAAAAAAAATGAGACATCCGTTTCATTGTATTTGTTTGATTTGTTCTCTTCATTTTAGATTGAAGAAATTTTGAGCTCTAATTATTTTTAATTTATATTGCATACTAGTATAGAAATTAAATTTTGAAAATTTTTAACAATTTAAATTGAATAAAACTCATTTTTATAGTAATACGGAGTACATGTTACGAAGTACTCCCTCTATCCACCATAGATCTTCCCAGTCACTATTCACAGGGTCAAACTTCACTCACTTTGTTTGCTCATTTTTACTAGTCATTTCGTAAAATAATATAGTCTTGTCACCTCTAGTTTTGTAGAACTTTTCATGTAGTTTATTACTATATAAATTTTATTTTAAAATTTTACCCCTATAATCAATTAAATTGAATTGAAAATAAAGTCGGTCAAGCCTCGTAACGCGTAATGGGAAGATCTTAGGTGGACGGAGAGAGTATGATTTTTGTTAAATTATGTAGTATATTATGTATTATGTTGCTTAAGTTTGACTACAGGAAAAATTAATATTATAGACCACAGCTATTTAATGTGTCAAAATTACCCACTCTATATATTTTTGAAATCTCTTGGTATAAGTTTTTGAATGTATCACTTTCATTTTTTTAATTACACACCAATTTTATATGTAATATTCTCGTCATCCTAAATATATCTTGTCAGTTACACACCAAGGTCAAATTCTATTTATTTTTTTCACTATTTTCATTTTTTAATCCTTCTATATACAATGATAAGAAGATTTCATGAACAGTGCTCCCGCCACTTTCACCAACTGATTTTGGGCCAGTTTTGGGCCATCTGTTCGTGGGCCGAGTTTGTGCCAATTTTCTGGGCATGCGTTGGCAGCTATTTCCTTAAGTGCGTGGCTCCATAAAGTAAAGTTATGATACTTTATGGAGCAAAGTGCCAAATCAAACTTTAAGTCAAATCAATTAAATAATTAGATTTACACAATCCAAGCATTTAATGTGCTCTTTTTTTAATGTGCTTTAAATTACTTCATTCACCAAGTATTATATATACACCTCTTTGAGCATTAATCTAAACCACTTCGTAAAATTAGCACTTTTAAAATTTCGTATATTTTGTATATATGGCTCAAAATTCTCAAAAGAGTTTGATGACAATGTTTACTCCCATTGCGGAACTAGACAGCGGTCGGACTTCTTGGATTCTCATGTTGAGGGCTATTTGAGTTTACTTTGTTCCGAGGTAGGCAAAATGTAGAGTTCTATGGAGATCGTCTTTCACGATGAGCATGTATTGTATTCCCCAAGTTATTACATTTGTTTTTTACGACCTATAACTCATAATCTCAAACTATCTACTTTTTTTTTATAGGGAACGACGATTCACGCTCATCTTAACCGGCCGAAAAAAGCATTTTGAAAATCAGATCATCGAGGGTGGTGTTTTTGCCATTTGAAATGTGTTTGTTCATGACAACTACCAAAGTTTGAAAGTCACCGCCAATGATAAGCTCTTGGGTTTTTCAACAACATTGAAGTGAAACTTTAAATCAGAGTGATTTCCCACGGATGATGTTCGATTTGAAACCATTTCCAATTCTTCAAAGCCAACCATGTTTGAATGATCAAGTTTTGATTGGTATTAAAATATTGTCATTCAAAAATATTGTTTTTAAATTGAATCAATCATTCCGTTCCAAAAAAAGTTTTAATTCGATTTTTTAGGATCAAAATTAAAAACTTTGACCATGAAATTTAAAAAACAATATGTTGAATAATAATATAAATTTAAATTATTTGATTTGTCTTTAATTATAATTTTGAAATATCATACTTTTTATAAAATTTATTAATTATATATATATATATATATGCATACACACACACACACGCATGCATATTAATGGTTAAAGTGTCACATAGAAGACCTAATAGTTTAAAAAGTGTTATCTCACTAATTGAACAACAAAAATCGATGTTTGAATAATGGCTTTTTCACTTGGCAGTTTGATCTGAAAAGTCAAAATTCGGAAAGCCAAAGAGAGTATCTTTTGGACTTGGCTGTTAGAAAAACTAATTTTTTAAAATTAGTTTTCTTGAAAGATATTTCAATATTATATGTAAAAAGATTAAAGTAAAAAAAAATTAAAATTTAAAAATTGAAAAATCAAAATAAATTTGATGTCAAAATGAAAAGAAAAAAATTATTAAAACTTTATATACTCCCTCTATCCGGAAATTTTCTTCTCATTTGACTTGTCACGATTTCCAATGCTATATATTTTGACCATTAATAACTATATTTATACATAGGTATATTTTATAAAATTTTGATATTTCAAAATTATGATTCATTAGAAATATATTGATATTAAATTTAGAGTAAGTTCCATAATTAGTCCTTTATAACAGAGGGGTTTCCCTATTTAGTCCTCTATTATCAAATACTACCCTAGTGGTCTTTTTTTATGAGTATCTTTTCACAAATAGTCCTTTTTTATCTTCTATCATGTTGGTGTTAATTTGAGGGCTAAAAGTGTAATTTGACAATGATAATATATCTTTTTTATCATACACAATTCTAAAGGTTGTTCCGTTTGAGTCGTTTGTGAATTATAGTCGCTTTCTACTACAACCATAGTCTACAAATGTGGTCTTTCGTTGGAATCCTAGCCCACAATCATAGTCATTATTTTTGTGTTATCCGCTTAACCAATATCAGAACATGTCACTGGACATAATGTTGATGTCAAGTTATACTTTTAGCCTTTAAATTAACACCGACATGACAAAAGATAAAAAAAAGGACCATTTGTGGAAAGACGCCCTTAAAAAAAGGACTATAGGAATAATATATGATAACAGAGGACTAAATATGGAAACCTACCTGTTATAAAGGACCAATTATGGAATTTACTCTTAAATTTATATCATAATATAATATATATTTTCCACAAATTAGAGTCAAAGTTTACAAAATTTGACTAATAAAAATCGAATGTGAAGAACATTTTCGGACGGAGGGAGTACTCTTAATTTTTATATAAATTATATGAAAGTGAAATTTAGTACTTCATACATACATACATACATACATACATACATACATACATACATACATACATACATACATACATACATACATACACACACACACACACACATATATATATATAATTAATAAATTTTATAACAAAATATGATATTTCAAAATTATACTTAAAGATAAATCAAATACTCTCTCCGTTCCTAAATATATGCCACATTTGTATTCCCTAGGCAAAATATCAAGTTTTTTCAATTCATTTTATTTACATATTGGTATAGAAATAAAAAATAAAATTTACATATCAAAAAACTACATGAAAAAGTTCTTCGAAATAAGAGGTATCAGGAATATTTTATTTTATCAAATAATCAATGAAAACGTAGAAATAAACAAAAGTTCCCGCGACTGTTGAAAAAGTAAACGTTGCAAATAATTTGGGACGGAGGGAGTAGTTTAAATTTATATTATTATTCAACACATTGTTTTTTAAATTTCATGGCCAAAGTTTTTAATTTCGATCCTAAAAAATCAAATTAAAATCTTTTTTTAGAACGAAATGATTGATTCAATTTAAAAACAATATTTTTAAATGACATTAGCATGTGTAGATGAGTTAAATTAAATAAGGATAAAAAGACAGGGCCATTGTGTAATTTTAAAAATTAAAATGATGTGGCTAAAAAATTCACATGGAAGCAATTTAGTGGGAGGGCATCCTCCCAGCCCATTCATTAGGAAAGACACTGGAGAAATTACATTAAAATTAAAGTTGATTAAACTAGGAAAAATTAATTTCAGAAAAACCAATAGAAAACGAGAACGAAGTTCAACCAAACATAACAAGAGACATCAGACAAATACTACTCCAGCAAAGATCGGCCAATGACTTCCTTCCAAGTTCGGCTCGTCGCCCCCCCTGTTACTGCTATTCGGGTCCTTTTGTTCGACCCGGATCCGCGTAGCGGGAGATTCGGACGACCTGAATCTGCTGCAGAAAGGTCAGAGAGAGTTCGATTACTTCAAGCTCGCTCTTCAATGGCCCGGCACCGGTTGCAACAACACCAAGAAGTGCTGTTCCAGCAATGGCTGTTGCCGGTAATTTCCCCCTGTTTCGTGTTCTCTAGGGTTCTTCATAGATCTCCTTAGTTTTTGATTTGTTTTTTTACCTAATTATGGTTTGTTGATTTAGCATTGAGATTTGTCTTGTCTTTTTGAATGGTTTCATTTCTCTCTGTGCAGCTCCGGCTCGATTATTGGATTCACAATTCGTAAGTCTTTCTGATTTTGTTGTTGTTTGTATTATATGTTGTGTGAATTAATTCTACCATTTTCCCTTCAACCATTCAAGTTTTAGTTCCCACTTTATGCTCATGTTGCTAGTAACTTCAAAATAAAACACAACAACAACTGCCACGGTTTATAGCGTACAACCGGTTGTACGGTTTCTCGTACATCCACGGCGAGTGCTCATTTACGAGTAACTGAATGCCCATTTTCAAGCAAGTGAATGCTCATTTTCATGTAACTGAATACTCATTTCTCTAAAAATCAGCTATGCTAAAAATGAGTATTGTGTTACCCGAAAATGAGTACTTAGTTACTCGACAATGAGTATCCATGGGGATGTACAAGAAACACCGTCCACCTAGATGTTTGGCTTTCTTACTTTTCCACCCCTCTCATGCCATGTCACTCTTAAAGTTTAGTGACTCTCGTCGTGTGGTTCATATTGTTTCTTTTATGTTACTCTATTGTTGATTTTTTTCTCTTCTAAAAAAATCTCAAGCATACAATTGCCAGTTTTGTAAACAGCCTACGATGTCGAATTAGTAGATAAAATAGGGACGGAGGGAGTAAATAGTCAAAGGGAATAAACTGGAGTTAACTCTATTATATGAATCTCAAAGTTTGTGTAATTCTTGTTGCTACTATGGTTTGAGATCCATTGTTTTGCAGACGGACTGTGGGCAGAGTATAATGATGGGACATGGCCCTCGTGCTGTGAAGGTTCAGAATTTGATGCGAATGAGGTATACATGGGCTACCCTTGATCTCTCTCTCTCTCTCTCTCTCTGGGTAACTTTACTTGGTTTTGACAATGTATTTGTTATTGTATTTTCATACTGTAGATCTCAAGTTTGCTGGATGACTTGAATAAGTATTGGCCATCTTATAGATGTGGTTCTACCACAACTTGCCATGGTAGCAAGGGATCATTTTGGGCTCATGAGGTCTTCTGTCTTTTGAAAAAATTAGCTTGATTACAAATGATCGAGAAACTCTCAAGTAGATTCAATTTACCAAGTCAACCATACACTGACAATTAAAACAAGTTACGGTATATACTTAATACCGTAGTTTTTGTTTGACATGAATCCACTGATATCATTAATTTACTAGATAATTGATCTATAACAAAGGATCAGACGATGAGTAGTTTGTGCCTCAGTCTATGGGTGACGTGGTAGTCCGAGTCTACTAAATAATTTATTTGATGATGTGCTTATATTACAAGGAGCTAAGAACTAACTTATTATCCTTGCATTCCGCTTGTGGTTGACTCTGAGAACTTCTGCTCAGTGGGGTAAACAGTTTGTTGCTGATGTTCAATTGTTTGTGTTTTTCCCCCTAGTTGGTCTTGTACATATGATAGCCTATGAGAATAAAAAAGAGTTACACAGGCTAAGAGTTTGTATTTTATATGTTAACGTACTTCTATTTGAATATTACAGAGAAACATGGAACGTGTTCATATCCAGTTGTTGAAAACGAGTCTGACTTCTTCTCGACTGCCCTGAACATTTTCTTCAAATACAATGTTACAGTAAGTCTGCCATCAATGTTTTTTATATTGTGAGATATTTTTGGTTCGAAATGCATAATGTTGGGTGCCTACTTATGTAAATTTGTTGGTGTATAATAACAGGAAGCTTTGTTCAAGGCTGGATATGCACCCTCAAACTCTGAAAAGTACCCACTGGGAGGCATCATTTCTGCCATTCAAAATGCTTTCTATATGACCCCAGAAGTGGTATGCTCTGGCGAGGCCTTGAAAGAACTTCGGCTGTGCTTCTATAAGAATTTTGAGGTTTGGCCGTTTTTACACCTAGCAGATCTTTAATCAACTGATTATTCTCTCAACTTATACAAAGTTTGACACACCATAATTTTTTTTCTTTTTTGCTTTTTTACTTTGCAGAAACTTTGTTTCAGTTAAGAGTCCACTTATTGTTGCACACTTTTTTGATAATCTAAATTACTTTCACCATGCAACATTATGAAGTTTTTATAAACTGTCCTTATAGCTACTGAAACTGGTAGTCAAAGTGGTGTACATATTGCATTGTACTTGCATAAAGGAAGATGTCATGGTAAAAGGCTTTTTCAATTTTGATCAGGGTCATATAAGTCATTTTAGCTAAAAGATTCCATAATGGATTTAGATCAGGTTCATATATGTCGTTTTAGCTAAAAGAGTCCGTAATGGATTTAGATCATGTTCGTATATGGTTCAATTTAAAGTAGGTTCATATAGATATCCTGGATTTCCCAAGTGAATTAGAAGCTATTGTCTCTGATTCTCTTCTTGCAGCCCCGTGACTGTGCAACAGAGTCTAGAATTGAAAGTGGCATGATCTCTCTGAAAACTTCATCATGCCCTTCTTATGTCAGCTTATCAGTACATGAAGCATCACAATGTGAGTTTTCCTTTTTTTAATATTCATTTATCTATTTATATTTAAATACTAGTACATTTTATGGTGATGGAAAGGGATTATACCTGAATACAGGTCAACTATACATGTCGCATGTGCGTGTGTTTTACAAAACGAGAAAAAAAGAGAAAAAGTTATGCCTAAAAACACCCCATGCCTAATATGCAATGGGGATTATTTTTGGGAAGGAATACTTAAATCAGTTAATAAATCTCGCCTTTTTCATCTGCTTCAAACTGGCGTTGAGGAACATCGCTCAAACAATGTTGTCAAGACATCTCGGACTACATGTCTGCAGTTGTTAATTTCTTTTTACAATTTAAAACTTTGGTAAACAATGTGGTNTTGGCGCGCCAGTTGAGGTTTCTCCGTGTGATCTTGAGCTCACCACTTCGAGTTTTGGAAGCAGCCTCTTCCAAAAAAGTGCAAGTTTGCCTTAATCGCACCCTTGTCGTGGGACCCTTTGCTTAAGACCCTTGTCAAGCAAGGACACTTTGTGCTTTAGGGTAGTTCAGGATGCCCTAATACCTAAATAATGTGGTTGTGGGCATTTGTCTCATAGTGATTTTGGCTATTTAAGGTATCACATTATTTGCATCGTACTTTGTGAAGGTAACAGACTCATGGATTGGATCAGTTTGAAGCTAAACTTTGCTGTCAGCTTATTAGTGTATCTCTCTATGAGAAGGTATATAGCAAGTTTGGAATTCTACTAATTACTGAATTGTGTCCATTTTTTTAAAAAAGTGGTGATTACGTGCACCCAAGATCCACGTCTAATTCCTGGACCTTCTCACAAAAGTTGTTGGACTCAGAAGCTAATGTGGAAAAGGCCCGTTTCACCCCAGCTAATGTGCCTAATCCTAATACTAATACTAATACTAATACTAAGGAGTCCACATCAACAAGGTCCATATAATTGGAATGGACAACCGACAACCTGAGGACCATGGAAGTATTTGCCTTTAAAAACACGTCTTCTGTTTTCATCGTGAAGATCAACCACTCATTTTTTAAGTCCCAAGGGTATCAAGTTTTCCCCACGAAGAGAAAGGTTGTTTCCAAGAGGGCATTTCTCCATACTAATCATCCATCCAACTAAGTTTTCTTCATACATATATCCATGCCACAAGTGATGGATTCCATATGATGGTTTTCTTGGATCATCTTTAGGCATAATGTTTTTGCTTTGAATCTCATGTTTTCTTCGGCTTTCAGGGGTTGAAAACAAAGGAGCTGCCATCTTTCGGTCCACATGGTAGATTGCTGATCGGTATGATTAGATTTCCTTTGCCATTACTTGAGTCTTGAGATTCTCTTTTATCTTAATGCATCAAATGAACATTCAAAATGCCAGTACAATAAAAACATCCAATTTACAAAGCTTGTATGGTGATTATAATATTATTCATGGCATATTATTGAAAATCCAAATTATATATGGTTTCTCGCTTCAGTTGCACAAACCAATGCAACCTAGCTTCTCTCGTCTTGTCCTCAACAGGTGCCACTCCCATACGTCTCGAATAACCTCATTTTGAATTGTATCCAACTTCGTATCCTCAAACATTACCCCAACATCTGCATCTCCGTAACATATAGTTGACGACTACCCAACACTATACGGCGTACAACATAGCCGGTTTGACAACATAGAACATCCCTTACATCCTCGTAGAAATCTTCTTATCATAGAGAATCCCTTGAACTAACTTTCACTTGGCCCATGCATAAATAAATAAATGAGAAATACGGAGAATGGGATGAGATAAGGTCTAGAGTTTTAAGACTGGAATGTTTTTGGAGGAAAATTTTATGTTATATTATACTCGTACGTAGTATACTTCCTGTGTTAAAAAAATGTTTTGGTTTGATTTTCATGAAATTAAAAAATTGAAATTGTGGTAGTCATTTTTGCAGAGGAAAGCAAGATAATGTAAATCATTTATTTCTTTCTTAAATGAAACGCGACGTTTATTTTGAGACCTCCCAATAAAAAAAACATGACATTTTTTAGACGAAATTGATATGATTGTATTTTGAAAGAATGTCAAGAAAAGGAGTATGACCTTTCAACAATTTTATAAGTATGAACTTATATAGTACTCCCTCCGTCCCAAATTATAATGTTTGTTCACTATTCAAAGGGTCAAACTTAATTCACTTTCTTTCTCTATTTTTGTTAGCAATTTGATAAAATAAATTACTATTTTCACTACTAGTTTTGTAGATCTTTTGATATAGTATTTTAATATGTAATTTTTATTTTTTAACTATATACCATTTGTCATATAAAATGATTCGAAAAAAATTTCAATCAAACATCGTAAACCGAAACAAGCATTATAAAATGGGACGGAGGGAGTATGTAGGTGTTTGTTTGTGCTTATATACTAAATAAAATTGTTTATAAGTTGTTTTTAACTTACAAGTTGCCTGATAACGTATTTTTTGTGATTATAAGCTAACTTATAAGCTCATATAAGAAAAAAAATTAAGTCTTACTTATTTTTAAACTAGTTATTTCATTTTTTTGGTTTTGACCAAATTATTTATAAAACTATCTCTCAGTTTTTATGAATATACCCAAATGACATATCTATCACTTAAGACATTTTACTTCCACAAAAATTACTATTTAACTTGTAAGTTAAAAAATACTTATCAACAATAAGTCAGTAAGCAAATAGAAACACTTCTTATATTACCAACTTATTAAGAAATTATTCTAAAACTAATAGAAAAAGTAATGGTGTGTCTATAATTGACAGGAAAACAAATTGATATTTATATTTAACAAAAATCAAAGGTCCTGTCAAAGTTGATATTAGTTGAACATTCATGTTTTTTGATAATTATCTTGAAAATTAATTTGCTTTTTTGAATTTTTTGGTGAGCGACTATATTCATAAAAACGTTTTCTGGGTTTACAATAAAAAGTTTATTAGTGCATTTTCATATATTCATTTAAGAAATACAGGAGTAAAATTCCTAGTCATCACCGATTTAGATTTGAAATGTCTAGTTGTCTTGTAGATGGAGAGCATTAGAGTTCCACATTCGACTTTGGAAGAGAAAATGAATGGTTTATAAATGGTTGAAATGCATAATTGATTGAATTTATTCTTTTAACTTGACTTGATTCAAAGTGTTTTATTATCTAGCCTAATTACTCCTAAATTTCGTTAGGTTTCAACTTTCAACCAAATAAAAATAGGGCATCCTTTTTTTATTGAAAGGTGTCTTATATTTTGTCATTTTAAAATAAACTAAAATTATTTTCAAATCATTTTATATGAAAAATGATGTAAAATTTAAAAATGAAAATCACATATTAAAAAACTATATCAAAAGATCTACAAAATTAGAGGTGGCATGGTTATATCATTTTATGAAATGAGTAACGAAAATAGGAACTTATTGAATCCAAATGAACAATAAATATCAATCCAGTAAAAGAGGTGGAGTAAAAAAAGGTAACACGTGTACTCATTTGAGAATGTTATGGTATCCCTTCGATCGTGATGGATTGCAAACACACGTACACCGAGTAATTGTTTATTACGTGTTGGTCTTTGGGCCTTCTCACTTTTAGCATTTGTTTGGAAAGTGAGAAAAAGAGGGAAAGAAAATTAGAGGTGAGAAAACACATACTTTAATTTATTTTTTTGTATTTGGATGGAAATGAAAATGATATTTCTTTCATTCCTAAATATTTGTCACACTTATATTCTCGAGCTAAAATAGCAAATTTTCTCAATTCATTTTATTTATATATTGGTATAGAAATAAAAAAATAAAATTTACATATCAAAAAACTACATGAAAAGTTCTTCGAAATAAGAGGTGTCAAGAATATTTTATTTTATCAAATACCCAATGAAAACGTAGAAATAAACAAAAGTTCTCGCGACTGCTGAAAAAGTAAATGTTGCAAATGTTTAGAGACGGAAGGAGTACTAAAATTGAAAAAATCAATCGGACCCACTTTAAAACTTGTTTCACCTCTGATGGTAAGAAAATGGACCAATCACGCATGATAACTATTCCCTTCTTCTTCTTTTTTTCTTCTTTTTACTTTTTTTCCCATAGGATTATGAGAAGTTAAATCATGGTATAATCTCAATCTAATCTTTAGAAAAACCGCCCCTTGTCTGGTGCACACAAAACTGTTACAAATAATAGAACTTCTATATTCTCACTGTCGAGATTTGATCCTAGAATCAACAAACTTAACATTCTCTCCTTGGACCACTTGAACTATAGCCACGGACCAATTTCTTAATATGACATAAGTGTGTGATGTAAAAAAAGAATCACACCCAAGGTAAAAACACTACCTAAAAAGAAGCTCTTAGCCCAAATGTCAAAGTTCCAAAGAGTAGATGCCAAAATTATTAGGGAAAATATAATGACTTTTCCTAAATAGCACATGTGTTTTTCTTCTCAATGTAGCATTTTTAGTCATTATGCATTAGTCATTATTCAAGTAAAATATTAGCCATCACTGGGCATTATGGACATTATTAAGTGTTATTTAAAGAATAAAACAGTTTAAGTGCTATTTAAGAAAATATCTTAAGTTTTAGTGTTATTTAGTGTTATTTAAGGAATAAAACAGTTTAAGTGCTATTTAGAAAATTTACTTAAATAACACTAAAACATAATGACTTTCCTTAAATAGCACCAACATGACCGGACCCATCCAACATGTTAAACATTTAGATTTTTTATCATTTGACTTTTTACGGTCTCTAATACAATAATTAACATATAATATCAAGGTATACATAGATATATTTGATAACATTTTAAATATTTGAATAGCATGTTTAAAAAAACCAATGATATTATATTTATATCAAAACACAATGTATATTTTCCAGATGAAGGGCTTTAAGATATACTCCGTATATTGTAAAAATATGATATTTCAAAATTACATTTTGAAATGAACTACTAATATTAAATTTATATCACCATTTAATGTATTTTAGTAACTTATGGTCCAAATTTTTAAAAGCATTGAGCACAAAAATCAAATTGGAAAAAATATACTCCCTCCGTTTCTCAAAAGAGTTCCTCTTTTGACTTTGGGGAAAAAATAAGGAATTGTTAAATTATAGTTGACTTTCCAATTTTGCCCTTGATGTGATGGGTAAAAGTAAGATGTGAAAGTTTAGTTGTTAGTGAAAAAGTATGATGTGATAGGTAGGGTATGAAAAAGTAGGGATAAAAGTGGTTTTTTAATAGAAAAAAGAAGTGTTTTAAGAAAAACAAAAAAAATAAAAGAGGAAGGGTTTTAAGAAACGGAGGGAGTATGAGACAAAGGAAGTATTATTTTCAAGAAATTTTCCTCAATAAGAGTAAAAAAGTACCAAAACAACAAATATGAGTTTTTAATCGTTTAAGATTAGAATATCATGAGTATAATAATAGTGTGATGAAAGAAAATGAACATTGTGATTGGCAAACCATCGGTCATCATCGGTGATTGGTAACGACACTCTAGTAAATGGTAGTGTGTCAGTTGCAGTATGAGAATATAGTGAGCGTAGCGATGAGATCTTGATCTTAAATGATTTAAAATTCTTATTTGAGTATTTTCGTAATTTTTTATTTATATCTAGAAAGTTTTTTCGTATTATTTTCTTTCACATCCCAACCTTGTTAGCTCTTCATCTCATCTACTTTATAATCTCGTGTTTTCTTTTCGTTCATTTTTCTTCCTAAAAAAAGAAACAAAGTTTCCTTTCTTGGAGAGTCATAAACCAATATGGAGGTGAGAAACATATTTCCTTTCTTGTTTCGGTTCAGTGCGCAATGTATGTGTTCGTGAAGGGTCATAGGTGGGGCTCGATCGCCTGCTGGATGGGTTTCAATCTTGAATTGGTGATTAAATTCCCCTTCTGAGACGTCTTTTCAATTCTTTTTTTCATCTTCCATTAATTTGAAAGCGAAAATCTAAAAGTGTAATTTTTCAATGATTATATATCCTTCTGATGTCAAATTATAGTCGTTTTTAACTACAAACATAGCCCACAGATGTGGTCTTTCGTCGGAATCCTAATCCATATTCGTAGTCATTATTCTTGTGGCGACTTCAGAATACGTCACTGGACATAAGGTTGATGTCAAATTATATACTCCCTCCGTCCCGGAGTATTCGTCCAGTTTTGACTTTTGAAACTGTTCATCTAAGTACTTTGACTCATCAAATTCTCTCAATGTGTAAGCCTAAATATAGTCATGTGTGATCTTGTTTGATTTGTCTTAACATATAGATTATAATATATAATTTTTATAATTTTTTAATATACAAATTACAAAATAAAATGGATTAAAGAAGTGTATTGGATGGTGTGTAAAAATGAAAGTGGAAAAATACTCTGGGACGGAGGTAGTATATAGAGATTGACTCTCGTGAGATGACACCTTACGGTGAGATGACATGCTTCGGTCAGATGACGCAAAGCTTACCACACTACACTACAAAGCTCACAAATGGAAAATGCAAAGTTCACATGGAAATAAAACAAAGCCCACCACTTTGAACACCAAAACTCACATTTTTTTAAATTATGAAAATTAAAAAATTAATTAAAAATAAAATAGCAACACCGGTCAACCACCGGTCAGCATCAGTGGCAGGCGGCGGAGCAGCAGCGGCCGGAGTCTGGCGGCGGCGGCCGGCAGTGGCGGTCAACGGTCAAAGTCTAGTCAGCACCCCTTCCTTTGATTTTATTTTTTTAAAAAAATTTCAAAGTGTTGAAAAAATATGGTGAGCTTTGCTTACAGTTTGGTGAGCTCTGTAGTTGTCTTTGGTGAGCTTTGTAGTGCCCAGTGGTGAGCTTCGCGTTATCTGACCGAAGGATGTCATCTCACTGGAATCAATCTCATATATATATATATATATATATATATATATATATATATATATATATATATATATATATATATATATGATGTAGAAGTGTCCATTGCAAGTTGGTAAGTAAAATTACGCATACCCACAGGTTTTATAAAGCAGTTGGCCTGTATTTTATACACTGCACACAGGATATAAAGGTTTTATCTGTAAATGAGATCGAGAAATACTAATAATACAAACAACACTTACAATTAATTACTAAACCTTATTGTTGTTATTATGATTATTATATATACAAAAAGAAACGCATTTGGCCGGTAATTTGTGTTTGTATTATACAGGTGTATGTAGCAGCTGCTAATTAAATAGGATAATGAAGATATTGTTTACATCATCAATAATGTCTCCTTTACTGCCGCCCTGTAATCCCATACCCAAGCAGCGCCCCATGGAGGCTAAACAAATTTCAGCTTGTTCATCATCATCATCATCATCATCAGGGTATGGCAATCCTCCATGGAATTTCAAAGGCAGGCAAGTCCATCTAGCTCCTTCATTCTCTTCTCTTCCATTTCTGCAATTATTTAATACTCCCTCCGTCTCAAAATGATCTTTCCATTTTATTTTTCTTAGTCAAAATTTTTAAATTTTAATCTCGATATATAGAAAAAAATACATTATGTTTCGATATAAATGTAATATCAATAGTTTCGTTATAAACATGGTTTTGAAATATTGACTTTTTCATAAATATCTATATTTCACGTAGAAATATAAATATTTATAGTCAAAGTGTTACTTATGATCGTGAAAAGTCAAATGAGGAGCTAATATATAAAAGAAATTTGTTTAATTTCTTCTTATTGATCAGTGCTCTGTACCAACTGCATCTGGTCAAGTCAAGCACCGCTCGAGCTCTCATTCCTAATGAGTTCAGATTAGTTGAGGCTTTTGGGTAATAAATCACTACTCTATATACTTAGCTCCCTATGTCCCAAAATATTTGCCACACTTGTTTTTTCAGCAGCCGCGAGAACTTTTGTTTATTTCTACGTTTTCATTGGTTATTTTATAAAATAAAATATTCTTGACACCTCTTATTTCGAATAATTTTTCAGGTAGTTTTTTGATATGTAAATTTTATTTTTTATTTCTATACCAATATGTAATTGTTGAAATATTGGAATATTAATATTACTTATTGAATTATGGAGTACATGATAGAGTATATATAAGAGAGACTCTTAACACAACTAGGAATAGAGAATAGAAACTAACTAACATACAACATCTACCACAAATAGGATTAGGAAGCTGACTAATAATGAAACACTACCATAACCAATACTACAAGAAGTACTATTATTATTATTGTCTAACATTCCCCCTCAAGCTGAACTCTGGCTCAAGCAAGAGGAAGCTTGGACACTAGCTGGCATGGAAACTGGAAACTTTGAGAAGAGAGAAGTCTGACATGCGTCGGTGGCTGCTCACGTCGTTGGAGAAGAGAGAAGTGTGACGCGCATTGGTGGCTGCTGACGTCGTTGGAGAAGAGAGAAATTGACGTGCGCTATTAGCTGCTGACGTCGGTGAAGAAGAGAGAAGGTTGACGTGCACTTGTAGCTGCTGACGTCGAAGAAGAAGAGAGAAGGCTACTGGAGATGCATGTTTGACTGAAGATCCTTGACATTTTTGTCTTTTTTCTTGGATCCGGGCAATGCCCTATTTCTTTCTTGAAGGGGTGTAGAGATATTTTTTTCTCTTTCACTACTTCCCTTCTTGGCTTTGCTTTTGTGTTATTTTTTTTTGGAATTTTTTGGGTAACAAAAGAGAAAGAGAAGAAAGATTGATGATTAGGAGTGATTTGAGAGAAAAAAAGGATGAGTTGAGAAAGTTTTTGAGGAGTTGCCAATCTTTAAAATTGAAGGAAGAATAACATCGGTCCGGCGGGCGGCTAATGGCGGCGCCGCCCGCCAGAAGCGAGCGCAGAGAGTTTTAGGTCACCAAGAGCGGTGGCTCCGATACCATGTTGAAATATTGGAATATTAATATTGCTCATTGAATTATGGAGTACATGATAGAGTATATATAAGAGAGACTCTTAACACAACTAGGAATAGAGAATAGAAACTAACTAACATACAACATCTACCACAAATAGGATTAGGAAGCTGACTAATAATGAAACACTACCATAACCAATACTACAAGAAGTACTATTATTATTATTGTCTAACAGTAATTAAAATGAATAGAAGAAGCTTGATATTTTACTTCGAGAATACAAGTGTGACAAATATTTAGGGACCGATGAGTATTCATTTTTCTTTTTGTGTGTGAGTGTGTACAATTTACAGTGAAAATTTAAAACTTGTTTTTTTTCTTTTCTTTTTATGAGTAGATATACTCTGGGTGGATTCTTCCTTGCTAGTTATGATGACAGTCCTGCTGGAACTTTCGACGAGGTTCTTTTGTCTTTAATTCATTTTTTCAAGCACATACGCTAAAAAGATGCTCTAAAAATTTAATACTTCATACTGAAACAAAATATTATTTCAATAAAAAAATTGCACTGACATTTTGTGTCATTGTAAAATATCACACAAGCATAAAATGTTAGTGCATGTCTTCGGAGTAGTAAATGAAAAGCAATATTTGGTGTACAAATATCATTTCTCTCATTTTTTCCCTGTACTATATAGCCTATTGAAAATTTAAACAAGAAATGCAAGGTAACGCTTGACTACATCGTGTTGGATTTGTAGGAGGAAGAACACTGCGAAGCAGTGTTAAACGAAGAACACGATAGTATAACGAATCACGTACGAAACGCTTTCAGATCAAAGTTATTTCGGGGTATACGAAATACTTCAATCGGATAAGACGTTAATGAAGAACGAGCACTCAAGAATCGATCACCCAATCCATATCACGAGACCCTATTTTATAGAGTCGAAAAATTTCCATGATCGGACATGAACCTTCGCAAAGACATACGCGTACGTTCACGCAGAGAAGAAGAAAAAAGGCGCGAGTTTGAAAGAGGAGTCTCATACGGTTTTGGGGTACATTTCAACGTTTATCCATTGGTCTAGTCCTTTACTGTTTTGGACTCTGAACACAAAAATCTTAAGGATTTTCATAAAGAAATAACGTCTGAAATAACCCCGGCCAGGGGCTCTGCCCCTTGGACCCCTCTACTCGGGGGCTGCCTCCCCCGGACCCCCGCTATCCCGGGGGCGACCGCCCCCGGACCCTCGCAGTGAATTTGTAATATCGTTGAACGAGCGCGCACTCCGCACCTCCTAACTCGTTTGATAACGTCTATTTAAATTATTGTCCGATCTAAGTAAATCCAATTACACAAAATAAACCGATGACACTAAAATCACCAACACATCGCATGCCATAGGGGTGGATTTGGTCCCGGTTCGTTTACTTTCATCTTCTTCTTGAAGATCCACTTGTAACCTTAAGGTTTGTACCCAGCAGGAAAGTTAGTTAATTTTCAAGTATTGTTGTGCAAGATGGAGTCCATCTCATCTTAAATTGCTTGTTTCTAGAAAGTCATGTCCCTTGAATCCATAACATTACTTAATGTTCTAGGATCTACCTCAATACTATAAAAATATTGATATTCAAATATAATCTCATCCCTAAAACCTTCACATAAGTATAATTAAAAAAATGAGCCAAATTTTTGGCAATTCTACCTCTTTTTTCTTTTCTTAACTTCTGTAGGGACCAATGATTTATTAGTAGGAACTAAGTCACTACTAGAAGAATCTTCATTCGGTAAGGGAGAATTACCTAGAGCCATGTCTTTTGGTCTAGATATTAATGAGAATCTATTCTCATCAAAGATTACATCTCTTGACTCTATGACGGTATTAACACCAACCGAGTCATTTGATTTAATGACATAGAACCTATGTGCCTTGGAATGAATGACATAAAAATTCAATTAATACATTTTTCATTCAAAGTTTTCCTTTTAGGTTTTGAGAGTCTCACAACAGCCATAGAACCCCAAACTTTCAAATAGTTCAAATCAGTTGGCTTGATAGACCAAAGTTCATAAGGGGTAAGTTTGTTCCTTTTATTAGGAACCCTATTTAATAAATAGTACTACTTCCGTTCTAGAGTATTTGTCCACTTTCATTTTACACACCATCCAATACACTTCTTTAATCCATTTTATCTTGTAATTTGTATATTAAAAAATTATAGAAATTATATATTAATAATCTATATGTTAAGACAAATCAAACAAGATCACAGATGACTATCTTTAGGCTTACACATTGAGAGAATTTGATGAGTCAAAGTGCTGAGATGAACAGTTCCAAAAGTCAAAACTGGACGAATACTCCGGGACAGAGGGGTTGGCCGTTATCATCTTCTGTCCCTAAAATCCTTCACTCAATTGCGAGTAAGATAATATAGTCCGTATTATAGGTATTAAAAACTTAAAAATAAAATAGACATTCTGGTCTTACCATTCCGACCCAGAAACGATTCGGTCTTGGACCGGAGTGAACCGGAATTTTACCGGTCATAAATCTTTAGACCGGAGACTGGTCCGGAATTTTACTGGTCTAGCCTAAAGCCGGTTTTTCCAGTTCGGTTCGGTCTGGTTTTCCGGTCTGACCTAGATTTTGTACACCCTACTCGGAAATGATGGTCCACGGACCAAATCTTGGATTGCGCAAGATATTTTTACGTCGGACGCATATAAAACAGAATCAAAATATGGTAAGTCTAAAAGATGACAAAGCAGGTGGAGATTCTTTTCAATTTTATCCATGTGATCATAAGCTACACATAGTCCTACGTGTAAACCAGTTTTTCCACAAGAGATATTCATCAACAATCTAAGAGGTTTGTCCAAAGCAATGTCCATTGTCACAATAATTTTTTCCAAAACCGAAGCCTTAATTATGCCTAGGGGTGGGCACGGAACGAGACAATTCGGGTTTCATATTATCCTGCATCCTGTCCCGTCATATTCAAACGGTTTGCACCACAAGCCTATCCAACTTTGTCCCATAATTTTCGGAATTGTGACAAAACGAAACGGATTCCGATTATCCTACTTTGTCCTTCGAAGTTAGAGATGAAATATGCAGAAGAATGGAGAGGAAAATTGATATTTAGACTTACAAAAAACTATGAAAATTAAAAATAATAGAGTATTTAATAATAATTTCTAACAACAACCTATACAATAAGGCATTAAAATAAAATTTGTTAAAAGGAAGTATCGCACAAATAACAAAGGAAGAATGCTAGGTTTGGGCCAATTACTAATATAGCATTGCCTACTTGAGAGTACTCAGTCTATATTTTTGGCCAAACATTAAATATCAAGACATAAACTGTATACGTAGTGTGTCTGTGTGTGTATAACCATATTATTATAACAGTATGTAAATCATGACAAATGAGACAAAATGATGTATCTTTATGTTGTCTTAGTGATGTCCCATTTAGAATTCTGACAAAACGGCTTTGGGACAAAAAAAATGAATCCCTAATAAAACGCTACAATTTCATAACAGTTTCAGAATATTTCGGAACAGGATAACGGGAACAAGTTTTATGCCCACCCCTAATTATGCCAATTCGAAGTACCCTTTAAGCAATAGTTTTTGGCTACTACATTTTTGTGCTTTAACAGTATGGCTAATATAGTTGTGGATCAAAGTCCCAAAAGAAAGACCTTAAAATGAAATTCACGCAAAAAGAGAAACTCATGGAAACTAATAATCTCTTGCCAGCAATTCAAGGGAACATAAATCAAAGTGTTATTACCGTAGGAACCTTTTGGTGGAATTGAGAGCCATAATTTGGATGGCTGGTAATTACTCCGTAGCATAATGCCACACAGGGGTTTTAGGTTTTGTGAACGACAAAAAACATAAAAATGGGTGGGTAAATTGGTGAAATAATCGCTGACTATAACATTTTGGACGAATTGCAGAGACACTATTCCTTTGCCCAAAATTGAAATAATCGCTGACTATAACATTTTGGACTTCTCTCAATGAAAGAACCAATGATACAAACTCATATTGGGTAGGAAAGACTTTGAGGATCTTCGAGCACCAGAAATTAAGACAAGAGCAGAAGAAATATTGAGACGAGAATGGAATCTGCAAACCGAGAGAGGAGAAAGGAATTAGGGTTAACGATTTGTATGTTGATTTATATTCCTAAGGGTTACATCTCTCTATATAATAAAGGTAGAAACCCTAATTCTAGTCCTGTCGGTTCAATAAAAGGATCAAGGTAAAAAATCGAAAAGAAATCCTCGAATGAGCTTATAATTTTGCTCATTTATAAAATCTAGATTACATCAAATATATATTAATAATACTACTAAATAAATAAATAATAACACACACACACACATATATAGATTTTGGTTCAAGTGAGAATGCAATCGTATGAAAGAAATAAGAATGAATCTGGTGCTTTAGATTGTGAGATCTAAGGGTCAGGATTACATTAAAATTAAGTGCACCAAAATGATTTAAAAATGCATCATGTCGAAATGCACCAAAATCCTTTAAAAATGCACTATATCAAAATCTGAGTGCAGGATGCATCAGATCCAAGGGCTAGATTTTATTCTTATTTCTTTCACCAAGGTGCATATTCTCACCTAAACCGCCCCCTATATATATATATATATATATATATATATATATATATATATATATATATATATATATATATATATATATATCCTACTCTACTACTATCCATAACAGTCTCCACCCCTACGACGCACCCTTACCGTGGCCCCTTACACCTTAGTATATAATTATGATATTCAAAAAATATCAATTGGTTATATTATAGTGAAAATTCCCATAAAAAATTGGTTATAGTGAAATTAACTCATATACTCCATGTGTCCAATTTTTTTTCAAGTTGACTTTTAATGTTTTTTAAGGAGAGTTGAAAAAATTATAAAAATATACCAAAATATCACTAATGAAAGTGGCCGGATAAAGTATGTCGAATGTGGTGTAGTGGATGAGGTATAATAAATAAAATAAGCTAGATGTGCCACCCTGGTATTCTCGCTCCAACACTGATTACTTGCAAGCTTATTCTAACGCAGACTAGGCTGGATGCCCTGACACCAGACGATCCACTTCTGGATATTGTGTTTCTCTCGGGAACAAACTCGTCTCTCGGTCCTCCAAACAGCAGGCGATAACTTCTCGCTCTAGTGCTAAGGTTGAGTGGTAGCAAATGTTGTTGGTGAGACCAATTGGATCCAAAATCTTCGTTTGAGCTCCAGCAGCTATGTGCCGCCCTGGTCTGATCTTGTGCAACAACATACATGTGTTCTATTTATTCTCCAATCTTGTCGAGCATTAATGCACCAAACGTGTTGAGGTTGACGTCCAGTTTGTTCGTGACAAAGTTGCTCTTGGACAAGTCAATGTTCTTCATGTTCCTTTATCATCTTAGTATGCAGATATATTCACGAAATGACTCCTATCTATACTGTTCATATACATTAGAGATAATCTTGGTATTCGACATTCCCCAGCAGCTGACGTAGTCAAGAGCATGTTAAATATATGGTTCCTTTTATATTATCCTACAATTATTAGGAGTAGTGATCCTATTATATGTTGATGTAATTAAGAATTTTTCAATCAAGAAAATAGATCATTCTTCACCAAAAAGTGTACCCCAAAGTCTCTCCACCACACAATTCAAGTGTAAAAAAAATAATAAGCGATAATGAATGTATGATGAAAATATATGGTATACAGATGAGGTACACCAAAATGGGATACACCATTTGGTGTACTCCTAGCACGATATAGTTTTTTTAAATATATTCTTAACACTTATTGCTTTTGTTTTTTTGAATGTCGAATTCTCAAGCTTGTGGTGATCGCTGGAATTGTGTGGAACCCTCCTATCTCTTGTGCGTAAGTCTTCAAGCCATCGACACTATGAGGTCTAATTAAATACTATTTCACTGCTTTATATTTTTACAATCAAATTTGATTAACTTTGAGTATTTCTCTTAGACGACAGAAGTATGATATACTATGTATTATGGATTTGATCTGATTCTAATAAGGTCTGATGTAGTTTCAATAAGAATAAGTAATACAAAATACTGTCTCTGTGTCTAAATCTTTTTTTTATTTTGACTTTTTATATACTCCGTAATTTATAATAAAAATATTTTTTTGTTGAATTTCCAAATATCTCATATTGGTGTGATAAGTAAAAGTAAGATGTGATAGATGAATTTTTAATAAATAAATATGGTATAATAGATAAGATAAAAATTAGTATAGATAAAAGAGATTTTTTAATAGAAAGAAGAAAGATATTTTGAGAGAAAGAAAAAAAGGCTTTTTAGAGAAGAGGAAGTGTATACTTGTGAGTTGTGACGGGCTTGTGAATAATAAATCTCACAGATGGGCTGCTAAAGTGCTGGTAAACAACAATGAAGCCTGGATGCACGGACGAAAGGTAGGATTTCTATATACTCCGGGTATTAATTAAATTTCCACACAAAACAAAAAGTGTGGAACAAAGTTATTAGGGCTAGGTTCTTTTGACCCTCGAACCAAGGGTCATATTAATTTTGACATAGACACCTATAATGTTCCCTTGATAAATTGATAGTTATTAACTTCTAACCTCTCTAAACCCCCTCCCCATTGCCTCCTACCCCTCCCCCTAAAGCGCCAATTTGGCAAGCCAAATCGATGATTTAAGTGCGGAGGGGCTGGGGTGGGGTGCAGGGGGAGCTAGCAGGATAATTTGGTAAAAAACCATCAATTTTACTAATGGAGCATCGTAAGTACCTATGTCAAAATATGACCCTCGGCTTGAGGGTCAAAATAATCATTGTGAAGTTATTGAAATAATTTAACAATTGATGTTGTGAAATGACTAAAATGTAGGAGTTTGGTCTTCCAAGCCAAGTAGCCAGGTTTTCAAAGGTTCTCTCATGCTTATATGTACTCTTGCAGCTTATTTAGCCTTTGATTGATTTGGTTTAGAGAAATAGAGAATGTAAAAAATGGGTGAGAATTAGGGGTGGGCGAAAATCCCTAAACTGTTGTCCCGACTTAAAGTATCCCGATCACGTCCCTATAATATATCGTTTTGTTAGGGATAACAAAATTTTGTCTTGAACCCATTCCGAACAATTTTAAAATGGGAAAGGAGCGGGACACACAAATATTTTCCCGTTCGGTCTCGTTGTCTTGTAGCTATGTATATATTTATTTATATAATTTATTTAACACAAAAAAGTATCACAATTTTTAATTTTTCCAATATAGATATAAAAGATATCCATATTCAAATATTCTAAAAAATTAGACTAGGACCAGAACACCTAAAAATCCATACCGTTCTAACCCGACCCACCTAATTTGTGGCTCATAGCTTTCATGAAGTTTATAGTCATTACTTTTGACGTATGTTGTAATATTTTTTCATATTTCCTTATTGTTTTTGTTTTTTGAAGTCATTATAAATACATATATCATTTTTTCATTACTTTTCAAGTCAAAGTTGGTTGCCTCCCTCTTATGTATTTATAGTTTTATATTAAATTTCAGATTATGACAAAGCAAGACAACTCGAACCTGTTCTATAATATCCAGATCTCAAATATTAAGGGACAAAGAGAGATAAGCTCGTGGTCTGAACTGTTCCAAATCGTTTGAGAAACGGGACAAATCACGGGACGACATAAAATTCATAACCGTCCCAATTCGTTCCCACCCCTAGTGAGAATAAGGATAGATTTTGTGAGAAAATTTTGGTAGAATGGAAATCCATATTGAAATTTAAAAACAACTCTTATTTCTCCTTGTACTCCCTTCCGTCTAAAGTGAACTTGTTTTCTAGTCAATTTATTTAAGTATTACGACAAAATAAAAAACTAGAATTTACCCAGGTATATTATATATTAGTAAAGATACATAACAAACAATGTAAAACAAGCAGTGACTTGAGTGTGTTACTTTAACAATCGATTGATAAAAACATAGAAAGAAACTTACAAATTTCACCCAAACAAGCAAAGTCTTAGTGAGGCATATGAATGCTTAAGCTATATGCTTATCCCAACTCTAGTTTCTATGAGATTTTATTGGGTTTTTTACGTTGGTTTTTGAAAACTATATGTTAAGTAGAGAATGGAGCCAATTTCAAGGACTTCGAATGAACTCAATGACTTCTTGAGCATGATTGGGATGAGTTCATTTTCTTCCACTCCTGGTGATTTATTAGCCATAAATGTCACTGAAATCAAGGGTCAACGAATGATCGATCTATGCAACATCAACCTACACAACCCAGGTAACTATATTTCAAACGTTTTACCCGTAACGCTATCATATGGCCAATGTTTCCCCTTAATTTTATTTGATAATTATAGTCCACCATGGCCAACACTTGAAGGATGAATGGATGGGCCCGCTCATCAAAATGTCACTCCCTAGTTTTAGGTGATCTTTGAGATTTTTTGTCATTAGCTTATTGTTTCTTTTTGTTTGTACTTGTGAACTCTTGAAGCTAAGATTGATTTCATGGTCTGATATTTGCAGTGGTCGTACCAAACATAATCCTAATCTCCTCAAATACTCTTGCCAAATTGAGTGCAGGTTCACGCGACCTTTCTTATTCTCAACCCGTGGGCCGATTTGTCCAAAAAATATTTATGTTGGTTAACAAACGATTTAGCTCACGATTTATTTGCAGGGTGAGAAAAGTGGCACCTGCAAAGATTTCAGACCCGTCTCGAGAAAACGAAGAAGCTCGTTCAAATGGACAAAGAAATCTCAGCCTGCGTGTGTTGCTCTCAAAGCCACTTTTGGCTTTGCACTTTAGTGGTCTTAAAATGAGAGTTGAAGCTCCCAGCGTTGTTTCTTTGTGCTCTAACAGTTCCTTGGAACACCATTGATGATATAAACCAAAGACCAATAAGAGGGTAAGTTTGGTATAAATAAATAGTATACACAATGAGGCATTAGATTAAGTGTATCCCCACATGCACACTCTAAAAGTTCTATCCTTATGTATAAAAATCTTGAGCATCTACTTTGAGTTACTAGGAAATTCACTTTTGGTTAGGGAGCATGTAAGTTTTGTTTGGCCACAATACACTTAGTAAGCATTATATTAGCACAATGATGACATAAATTTGTTAATACAATAATAGGTATAATCTTCGATTATTGTCATGTTTTGCGCGTCTTATCTTTCTATTAGTGACAACAAAGTAAGGATATTGAATTATTCTCTAAGTATTCCAACATTATTATAAATAATGTAGTACTACGTGCATTCAAGGGTGGCATATTAGTGAATATTAGAGATATTCCTTGACTCTAATGTCATTCATTAGTGAGATTTATATACTAAAGAGAGTATTTTGTATATTGTCTTAAAATACTGGAAATATAAATTTTCTCTCAAAATATTCATTTGTTTTTTCTCTCATTTTCTATTGTTCTTAATACTTTTTGGAGTCTAACGAGCTTAAAATCTCAACAAAAATTTTTAATTTTTGTTTCTCTAATTCATTTGTATCATTTTGTCTTTTCAAATTATTATCTAACCAGTTTAGTCTCATCTTTTGCTTTTTTAAATATTTTTAGAATAAGTATAACTTTAAATTCATAGTTCAGATCCTTTCATTGGATATACTATTGAATTTCTCTCATCAAAACCTACCTATCCAACGGATATAATTTTGTCTTTAAAATATATACCTCAAGATTCTCTAATTTTTATCTAAAACATTATTCACATTTAATTATAAATTTAGAAGTATTAATTATTTTGATCACTATTTAAATTGCCACATATTTAACACACAAGTTAAGTTGGGAGATTCACTTAAAATCTTTGGAAAATAATTTTCTTGTGATTTTTCTAGTAAATGGCAAGGTTTCCTTTACAATGACAACCAATGTCATGTTATGACATTGGGCCCTTTCGATATTTGGTTCTATAATTGATGGTTCTTGTTTTTAACTCTTCAAAATGCTGCAAACTAAAAAGGTAAAATCATCAATTTTAGCAATCGTGCAACATAAGTACTCGATGTCATAGCATGACATTAGTTCTCAATGTTGAACCAATGTCAAGAGGTGATTAGTAAAATAAGATATACTACCTCCGTCCCATTGTCTTTGTCCACTTTTGACTTTTGGAATTATTCATTTAAGCACTTTGACTCATCAAATTCTCTTAATGTATAAGCCTAAAAATAGTCATGTGTGATCTTGTTTGATTCGTCTTAACATATATATTATTAATATATAATTTTTACAATTTTTTAATATACAAATTACAAGATAAAATGGATTAAAGAAGTGCATTGGATGATGTGCCAAAAGGTAAGTGGACAAAGACAGTGGAACGGAGGGAGTAAAAAATACTACGATGACAACAAAGTGGTGACAATATTTTGATAACATGTGTCACACATGACACACACAAAGAATAAGTGTTTGTGTGTATATCAGCACGCATTGTCTCTATATATGTGCGACCCATATCAAGGTGGTGTGAGTGTCATTACTTTGGTGTCCCTACACAACTCAAATGAGCTAGATGTAACTCGTAGAAATACATAAAAGGTTGTGCTAGGGTCGTAAAATTTTAAAGTTACTGTTAGGAAGTATAATTAAATTAGGATACTTCTTTCCTTTCCTACTAGGATTATTCTTTCCTTTCCTACTTGTACATTGATTACTCTTGTATTCCCTATATATAGGGCCATATCTCTCAATATTCAATAAGACAAGTTATTATCAAATTGTATCATGGTATCGGAGCTAAGACTCTCAAAAACCTAGCCTCTCTTTTTTTTTCCGACCGCCGCCCACCATGGCAGCCCCGTCGGATCCTTTGGCGTCCTTACCCTCCGGAGTAAAACTTTTGCTTCGGAGTCTCCACAACTTAATCCCAGAAAAACTCACCGAAACAAATTATCCGGCATGGTCTCTCAATGTCCATACAGCTCTTTCAGCTAATCTCCTCCTTGGATGGATTGATGGTCATGAAGCAGCCCCGACGCCAACTATCTCCAAAAACGATAAAACCGTCCCTAATCCAGAGTATACCTCCTGGACCATCGTTGACACACAGATCCGCGCCTGCCTCCTAGCGGTCATCAGCCCCTCCGTTCACAAACATGCTCGCGGCTTCACCACATCTGCTGCCCTCTGGGATGCTTTGGTCGCACGGTACAACTCCGTGTCCACCGCTCATGTTTATCAGCTTCGGGACAAACTCCACACTCTTCGTAAAGGTACCAAAACTATGACACAATACCTTGATGATGTGGCAACTATTCTCTCAGATCTCGATGCCTTGAAAGAAGAGATCCCTGAACGTGATGTGGTGAATGCTGTTATTCGTGGTCTTCCCACTGAATACTCATCCTTTAAGCAAAACATTCGCATGAACAATACCAATATTTCGTTAAACCAGCTTTCTGGATGGCTGATCTCCGATGAAATAAACCTGGAGATGGAGAATAAACTCAGCCTCACCGAGTCTACCATCACCGAACCTCGCACAGCACTTCTCGCTACGAACGGTCGAGGTCGCGGTAGAGGAGGCTACCGCGGTCGACTGTCACCTGGACGTGGATACAACAGCGGACGTGGAGAAAGGAACAACGGTCGACCGTCCCAGGGAAACGGTCGACCGTCACGGGATCTGCCAACCTGCCAAATCTGCGAGAAACGAGGTCACTCTGTGTCTGCGTGCTGGTATCGATTTGATGATTCTTATACTGCGAACTCCTCCTCCAGTGCTCCCCGCGCAATGCATGCATCTACGAGTAATCATTCTGGAAACTGGTATCTGGACACTGGTGCCAACACCCATGTCACGTCTGATTATTCTCAGCTGCAATCTCCTCATCAATACACCGGTACTGATGCTATTACCATAGGCAATGGTCAATCCCTACCCATCACACACTCTGGCTCAGGTTTTGTCCATACTCCTAATGGTAAATACCACCTTTCTACTCTTCATTATGTCCCTTCCCTTACCTCCAATCTATTGTCTGTCCATCGATTTACCAAAGATAACAACTGCACTCTTGTTTTCAATGCCAATGATTTCCAGATAGTGGACAATCCTACCAACCAGGTGCGGTACAAGGGCCTCTGTGAGCATGGGTTATACACACTTCCTTCCAAACTCCCAACCGTTGCGTATCAAGCTATCCAAGAGTCCACTTGGCATCGTAGACTCGGTCATCCAGCTCCTGCGATTGCCAAATCTATTTTGTCTTCCTTAGGTTTTCAGTTTTCAGAGCCTTTACATTGTGAATCATGTTATGTCTCTAAGTCCTGTCGTTTACCTTTTGAATTGTCTGAACATAAGGCCACAGCGCCCTTTCAATTAATACATTCTGATGTTTGGGGTCCCACCTCTGTTCCTTNTATTGTTCTCACTGGCAGCTCTTCTACTCTCATCTCAGAAGTTACTCAGGCCATGCACCGTGACTTCAAGCTCAAAGAACTTGGACCTCTTCATTACTTCCTTGGCATTGAGGTTCAGCGCACGCAAGATTCTATACTTCTCCATCAATCCAAATATGCCCGTGATCTTCTACGCCGAGCTGGGATGTCCGACTGTCATCCGGCTATTACTCCTATGGCTACGAGACCTATCACTAAGCCTTCATTGCCTTTCAAGGATATTTCTCATTTTCGGAGCATTGTTGGCGGTTTACATTACTTGGCTATCACTCGTCCAGACATTCAGTATGCTGTTAATCGAGTGTCTCAGACTATGCACAACCCCACTGAGCAGGACTATCATGCCCTGCAACGCGTTCTGCGCTATCTCAAAGGCACTTTGAATCATGGTCTTCTTTTTCGCAAGGGGGGATTCGACCTATCTGTCTACTCTGACTCTCTGACTGGGCCAATGATAAAGATGATCGCAAGTCTACCACGGGCTACATACTCCTACTCGGTCCTAATATCATCTCTTGGTGCACGAAAAAGCAGACTCGTGTTTCTAGATCATCCACTGAAGCTGAATATCGAGCTATGGCTGCAGGGGTTGCAGAAGCCATGTGGCTTCGATATATCACTGATGCACTGGGTATTCCTCCGTCCAAACCGAAGTTATACTGTGACAATGAGTCGACTATTTGTGTCACCAAAAATCCGGTTCTTCATGATCGCATGAAGCATGTGGGCACAGACTGTCACTTTGTACGAGATGAGGTTATGGCAGGCACTATGACTCCACATCATGTTTCCTCCTCAGAGCAACTAGCAGACATTCTTACCTAACCGCTTCCGCCAGTTCCTTTTGAGTACTTATGTTCCAAGCTGCCCCTCGTCTCCGTTGATCAGCTTGCGGGGGGATATTAGGAAGTATAATTAAATTAGGATATTTCTTTCCTTTCCTACTAGGATTATTCTTTCCTTTCCTACTTGTACTTTGATTACTCTTGTATTCCCTATATATAGGGCCATATCTCTCAATTTTCAATAAAACAAGTTATTATCAAATTGTATCAGTTACCATGAATTCACGCTTTGCAAAGACACACAAATAATAATTACTCAGTAAATTTTATAATTGATCCTTTTTAATAGAGTTTTTTCCATATTTCGTCCTCTGTTATGAAATATCACGTTCATGGTCCTTGTTTTATGAATACCATTTTACGAAAAGAAATCACCCTACATAACACTCTAACTCACCCTAAATTACGCATCTAGCACTACTCATTGTTTTTAACAAATTTAGCACTTTTTTGGAGTCAATCCTTTCCTATTATGCCCTTTAACCTTTTTTCTTTTTCTCATTAAAAATTACGGCACTCCCTAGGCCACACATACTCTTCTTGCGCTCAGCCGCACGTTCTCCTTCAGTCGCCCGCCATCATGCGTCCTCAGGCCTTCTCCCACGATTCCTGGGCTGATCAGCAGCGGCAATCATCAGGTTATCTCCGCTTCCTTCATCGATATGGCTAATCATTTTTTCTTCTCCTTCAATTTTTAATTTTCATTCCTTCATCCCTTTATTTGGATTTCCATGTATTTTTAGTTTTAATTATTGTGTTTTATTCGTACTGAAGATTAGGTGGTGTGAATAAATCAATTTTGAAATACCTAGTATTTGTTCCTTTTGAAAAATTAGGCCTTTTGAAAGGCATTGTGATTTTGGCAGTGTTAAGATTATGTGTTATGGTGTGGGCAGTATGAAGATTAAATGCCTAAATGTTGTCCTTCATTTTTAGTTTTATTTATTTCCTTAATTCTTAATATCTGAATTTGGTTCTTATCCTTAAAAAAACTTTGCATGTCAAAAAATTAAAAAATAAATTTACCTAAAATAATCCATCCTTTCATTTATTTTCCAAAAATATGTATTTTCATAAAATCCAGTTTAGTGGCCGTTAGTTTTTTAACGGC